CCGCGTCTCGAAGAAGGCCCACACCAGCTGGTAGCCCAGGGAGGTGATGCCCACGCTGTAGGTGTTGGGGTAGGCGTACAGCACCTGTGCAGGGGTAGCGGGTGAGGTGGTGTGGGAACGCGCAAAGGCCGGGTGCCGTGAGGCGTGGGCGCGACGCCCGCCCCCCGCCCGCCCCACCTGCAGCGCGCCGCGTGCTGCCGGCACCGGGTCAAAGCACAGGATCTCGTCGGCCTTGCACTCCGCCATGTGCAGGGTCTTGCTGCGCGGCGGCGCCGCGGCCTGCTGCTGCTGCTGCTGCTTCTCTCTACCGCGCCGCTTGGCGCCGCCGCCGCCACCGCCGCCGCGCTTCCCCACTGCCGCAACCACACGTCGCAGCGGCGGCGCCGCCGAGCATTGTGGTTGTGCGGCACTGATGGGCATCGCACTTGTTAAGCGCGTGTCTACTTATTTCTGCGAATTGGCCCGCCACCTGAACTGCAAAACGAGGCCATGGTGCAATACACACGGCAATCCGACGTGCGCCGCAGTTGAATGAGATCCATGGAGGGCAGCATGCATGAGGAGGTCGAACGCCAGCCTGTTCCCTGCGCCGCCACGTCAGCTGCAGCCCGGCGCCGCACGCAGCAAAGCCTCTCATACTTGCAATCTCATTGCCTAAACCGTGTCATTCACATGCTTCCTACTGCTTGGGACGCTTGAAAGCAGTCAACAGCGTGCCCTGCCTGCCGCCACGGCTCCCCGCATTGCCGCCTGCCGCACGCTTCTTGCGGCTGCCGGCGCCGGGTGCGGTGTTGCCGGCATTGGCAAACAGGCGGCCCAGCTTGTCCTCCTCCTGCTGCAGCTTGGCCGCCAGGTGCGCGTCCTCGTGCGCCTGCACTCGGCAGCGGCGGCAGCAGCAGCACCGGAACCAGCGGCATCCTGTCACCAGGCGTTGCACCGGCGTCGCCCAGTCCCATCGCCCGCTGCCGCCACCCAGGCCCCCACCCCGCCGCACCTGCAGCCGCGTCTCTCGCACCCACTCCCCGCACACAGTGCACTCCATCACATCCTCCCCCGGCAGCAGAGGGCTGCCTGGGGGGACATCCTCATCATCATCCTCGTACTCATCCACCTCTAGGCTGCCTGCAGGCTGGGCCTCCTGTTCCTCCTGCTGCTCCTGCTGCTGCTGGTGGTTGTGGCGAGGCTCCTGCTGCGGCTGCTGCCCCTCGCCGCCCCCCGCCCGCGCCTCCTCCTGCGCCGCCGCCGCCGGCTGCGGCTGCTGCGGCTGCTGCCCTGCTGGCGGCGAGGGCTGCCTGGCAGACATGAAGCGCAGGATGGAGGGCGCCGCCGCAGAGGCCGCCGCCGCCGCCGCCTTCCTGCTCCCCCGCTTGGCCTTGCCGCTGCTGCCGGCGCCGGCTTTGCCGCCGCTGGCGCTGCCCTTGCTGGCGGCAGGGGCCGCAGCGCCGGCGCCGGCCGCCGCCGCCTGCCCCGCCGCCGCCTCGCACCTGGCGCCCAGCCTGGAGGTGCCGCACACCTCACACCAGAAGGCGGCGCGGGGGTTGTGGAAGGTGCAGGCTTTGCAGGTCCAGGGAGGGCCCTGCTGGTGGTGCTGGGGGGCGGCCGCCGGCAGCGCCTGCTCCTGCTCAGCCTGCTCCTCCTGCTGCTCCTGCTGCTGCTCCTGCTGCTGCTCCTCCCGCTCCACCTGCTGCTGCTCATCTGCCGGTGCGGCTGCCTGCTGCCCAGGGCTGCCCTCTGCCGCCTGCCCCTCTCGCAGGGCGGGGCTCGCAGCCAGCCGCCCTGCTGCTTGCTGAAGCATCATGTCCAGCCCACCCTCGCCCTCAGCCGGCGCCGCCCTCCCCTCTGTCGCCGCCGCCTCGCGCTCAAAGCGCTCTGCCGTGGCGGGGGAGGCGAGCAGGGATGGGGGCAGGGAGTAGGCGCCGCCGCCGCCGCCGTCGCCGCCGTCGCCGCCGTCGCCGCCCTCGCCGCTGCCCTGCGCCTGCCACTCTCGCAGGCTGAGCTCCAGGCTGCTCTCCTGCGCCTGCCACTCCCGCAGGCTCAGCTCCAGAAGCTCTCCCTCCCCCAGCGCCTGGCTGCTGTGCACCACACCCCCCTCCTCCTCCTCCTCAGCCACCTCCGCCTCCACCTCCTCGCCGCCGACATGGCCGCCGCCGCCATGGCTGCCGCCGGCCCCCTGCCTGCCCCCATCGGCGCGTCCGCTGCCCGCCGCGGCAGCGCTGCCCCGCTGGCCGGCCCCGCCCTCCTCCTCCTCCTGCTGCCGCTGCTGCCGCTGCTGCTGCTCCTGCTGCTGGCCGCACCCCTCCTCCTGCTGCCTCCGTCCCAGGGCTTGCTCCAGTGACAGCTGCCCGGGGGCGCGGCGCGGCGCCTGCAGGAAGCCACTGACCCTCAGGCCCAGCAGGCGCAGCTCGCAGGGCAGCTCCGCCAGCAGCAGGCGCCGCGCGGCGGCAAACAGGTCGTCGGCGGCGCTGATGTGGCGCGGCAGCGTCTGGGCGCGCGTGCGCAGCTGCTTGCGGGGGGTCGCAGCAGGGAGGGGGGGGGGGGGCGGGTGGATGCCAAGGGGGGGTGAAGAGGCCCGGGCCAAC